TCCCTTCTCTTCCCTTCTCAAAACACATAACCTTTGTCTTATTCCTGTTCAACTCCAATCCTTTCTTGTCCAAGTAACCCTCCAACCTTTCTATCATGCTCCTCATTTCCCCCTCCCCTTTTACCATCACTACTACGTCGTCCGCATATGCTAGGGAGTACACCCTTTCCCCTCCCAATTTTATTCCTCCCCACTTTACTTTTGCCATCGACTCCTCCATATCCGCCATCAGTATGTTAAACAAAATTGGGCTCAGGGGACATCCCTGGCTAACACCCTTTACCGTCCAGAAGCTTTCTCCCTCCATCCCTCTCCCGTCCCTCACCTTGCTTATCGTTTCCCACAATATCTCTTCCACCCTTTCCACCCTATCCCTTCTCTTATCCCCCTCTCTCTCATCGTCTCAATTAAAATATTCTTATCCACTGAATCAAAGGCTGCTTTTAGGTCCACAAAAAGGGCGACCAGCTTCCCCTTTTTTCTTCCTATCTGCCTATTGATTAAGTAGTTGAGGACATATATATGAGGGCAATCCATTGTCCCTATCCCTTTTCTGAATCCTGCCTGGTTTTGTGGGATGATCCCCTTTCTCTCTACCTTCTCCCTCAGTCTTTCCGCCAGTACTGCCGTGTATATCTTGTATAGGGTGGGCATCAAGGTAACGCCCCTATAATCCTCTGCCTTGTTTCCTTCCCCCTTCTTGGCTATCGGCACTATTATTCCCTTCTTCCATGCCTCCGGCCACCCCTCCTCTTCCCAAACTCTTGCAAAATTCCCACACCCATTTCTCCAGCTCCACGCCTCCGTATTTCCACACTTCTCGCGGAATCCCATCTATTCCCATAGCTTTTCCATCCTTCAGCTTCCCTGTTGCCTTCCTTATTTCTTCCCTTCTTATTGCCTCCTCCTCTATCTCTCTCCTTCTCCTTTCACCTCCTCTTACCGCCCTACTCTCTATTCCCCCTAATAACCTCATAAAGTGCTTCTTCCACTCCTCGGCTTCAATCTCTTCATTTAATTTCCTTCTACTCTTTCTCTTCCTATTTGTCGGAGCCCCGGTCAGGATTCCGGGCCTCCAGCGATCACGGGACTACCGCCGGAGCATTGCGTGCTCCGCCGAGCGGTACTTCTAACCAGAAATCAGGAGCGCGCCGCGTGACACAAGCGATCACGCGGCGCGCCCCACGAGAGACAGGGTTGCGTACCACGGCGACTCCGCGTGCCTGGAGACTCGCATCGAATCACGGGAGGCCCTCGACGTGCGACCAATAAGATGAAGACAAGATCATGCACGTCGAGGGCGGACTCTCTCAACGTTTCGGGTTCTGCAGACCAGATTTCGAATACCCGACGCGTGGAACACGTCGTT